ATAAAGACAAAAAGGGAAAAAAAAAAAAAAAAAAAGAAAGAAAGAAATTCACAAAATGGCCACAATGAAGGTATAAAATTATTACTATTGACCAATGATACAGTGTAAACTTTGACTTGTTTCTTTCTAGCAATAAACTATAGTCAAAATAGCTAATACAACCTGAAATCACAACTGCCAATCTTCAGGAGCCTGCAGGCCAGTAGGGGAAATGATCATGAAATAAACACATTAACAGCGCAGCAGAAGATGTATGAAGTGCAGAGTTAGCACAAAGGAAGGGAAGATCAACTTTCTGGAAGCTCCTTGGAGGAGCACTGGACTTCTGGTTACCTTGTGGATTATAGAATTATTTCCTTTAATGAAAGAGTCAAACTACTTTGCAGACAGGGAAAATAGCCTGGCATTCCAAGTCACATTTGTTTCTGCGCAAGTGAAACCAAATGTATATATGGCTTTGTATTTTTGGATAGTTATTTTTTTTACCTGACAAAGAGTCTTAATGTACCAATCTTAATGGAAAACCAGGGCCCTGGAATATGGAATTAAATGTGGAGTGGCGTTTATAATTTGGACAAGTAGTCAAAAAGTTTTGGATAGTTATTTTTTTTACCTGACAAAGAGTCTTAATGTACCAATCTTAATGGAAAACTAGGGCCCTGGAATATGGAATTAAATGTGGAGTGGCGTTTATAATTTGGACAAGTAGTCAAAAATAAGAAATCTACATAGTAGCATGTTTGGGAAAAGAGGGGAAATTACACGGATGTAGGGTGTATATGTGTAAGTATGGGAGAGAAATATCTAGGTCTAGGAGTTAAAGTTGAATATAGTTAAAGTTGAATATATATGGTGGAAGAGCCAGAAAAAAATTTCTACCCAAGTAGTTCCTGTTGCTTGTGTAACATGGAAAAATACTATTTGAGACACAGTAAAGTACTTGTTGTTTACATACTTCCTAATGAGTTAGGAAAAAAGAGTGGATTCTTTGTAAGCTGTGGGTTCTTTGTTTGCCAGGCTAAGTGATGGTTGTCAGGATATAAGAGTAGAGAAATTGGGAGATAGTGTAATTCCTTTACAGGCTAAAAGCTGGGTGGGCCCCAGGGAAAGTAGATATCAATATAGATGATGTAGGGAGTGAAGCTGAATGAACTGATTGATTACTGGACTCCTGTACTTCAGTTTCTTGAGCTGATGCCCTGGAGGGCCCCCAAAGGGTAGGTGCCTCATTGTGCCCTGGTAGGCAGTGCTCTCTCCTGCCAGCCCTCCTTTCTGTGGTCAGGTCTCCAGCTCCACATTCCTGTCTGCCTCTAACCCTTGTCATCTGTGGCTGCTGCCTGCCTTCTCTGTGATCATGTCTAATCTCTGCCAGCTGTTGCTGGTTGTGGCTTCTAAGCGCTGCTATCCCTGTGCTGTCCACTGTCCTCTTCTCTGAACCAGCTAAACCTTAGGGAAGTGCTGCTCTGCAAACTGCCAGCCCCGCTCCTCTGCTTCAGTCAGCTCAGTCTGGCATATGTGATTTGGTGCTGACTTGGATGTGAAGGGCTAATAATTATAACAAAAGGAATTCTTTCATTGGCCAGAGAGAAGTTGGCAAGGACAGGAAGGGAGATGAGAAACTTTTAATGGGGATATTCATTAAGTCGTTTGTTGGGTAGTATGCAATTTAACCCTACCCTCTGTCTTTCCCACAGAAATCTTCAGTAAAATCCACACTGTTCATCAATGCTTTAATGGGTTTTTTTTTAAGTGAGAAGTGTGGAGTGCTTAGTCCTGCTTCAGAATTGATGAAATCAAAATCTTTTTGTAAGGGAAATGAACCAGCATGGGTGGCATTTGTCGAACGGGTTAGATATCCCTGGTACACACTTCCATAGCACCCTGAACTTTTCCTTTGTAACCAACCTTTGTCATACTTGTGATTACTTATTTAACATCTGCTCCCTTCTTAGGTTGTTAACTCCTCAAGGCAGCTATTTAGGACATTTTAGAAAGATTTCCATAAAGAAATGGGGAAATGTGTAAACCCTCAATTATGGATTAGACTTCTTATCAGAAGAATAACCTGAAGTATTCAGGCGCTTTTACTGTACCCATTTCCAAGTCAAAGAAATAAAACAGTCATTGTATATTATAGGGTAACTGCCATTTCCACCTCTTGGTTGAGAATTCAGTCTTGTATAATACCAGTGGGGTGATAAGAACCAGACATGAAGTGTACTCAGTGGATATATAAAAAGTCCTACTTTCCTATTTGGACAAGGGATGGGGTAATCTGGTTAACAGAGTTACTACATTTCCCATGCAGAGCTCCCCAAACTTTTTTTCCCATCATGACTCACATAGAATGTCAAAGGATTTGTTTGACACATTGAGGTAAGCAGAAAAGGCTACCGTCAGCCAGAAATGACTGTCCCAGGACTCCAGTGCCACAGGGCTGAGGCTAAGTGGGCTGGTCCCTACAACTCTATCTAACACTAACTTGATATAACATCTTTTAAAATATTTTCTATATCATTAAATATCAAGTGTTGCTGGCCTGCAGTGGTACGCAAGTGACAATAAACTAATGATTAAGAGAGAATGCTAGATTTATGAAGGTTATGGCATTTAGAAAGATCTTGATTATTCAAAATGGTAAAACCAGGAAAGAAAAGAATTCCATGGCCTCAGACATGTCTACCTGCAGACAATAGCTACATGTGAAACTTTATTAAGCTAAGTCTTTAGAAGATTTTACAGATGTAAGTGTTGTATGTAGTTACAGTATTTGCTGCAGACATAGCATGTGGATAACATTTTATTCATGTTCCTTAAATAACCGACACCCCCTAATTCAGGGGATTCACTTTGATTGCTGAGCTACCAAGCATGAAGGGTTGTTTGCACATCCGTGAGGGTCCAATTGCTTCATGCTGTTTTCAGGCAAACCTTATGGAAATGCCATACAGAGGGTTCAAGGCATCATATAAAATGGTAAAACCAGGAAAGAAAAGAATTCCATGGCCTCAGACATGTCTACCTGCAGACAAGAGCTACATGTGAAACTTTATTAAGCTAAGTCTTTAGAAGATTTTACAGATGCAAGTGTTGTATGTAGTTACAGTATTTGCTGCAGACATAGCATGTGGATAACATTTTATTCATGTTCCTTAAATAACCAACACCCCCTAATTCAGGGGATTCACTTTGATTGCTGAGCTACCAAGCATGAAGGGTTGTTTGCACATCTGTGAGGGTCCAATTGCTTCATGCTGTTTTCAGGCAAACCTTATGGAAATGCCATACAGAGGGTTCAAGGCATCATATTTTCTAATTGAAAATTCAGTGGGCATTCTGAAAAGGAGAGCACAGAATTGAATACATGCTCAGAGAGCTACAACAGCATACACATATCAATTCACCAGGCCAGTAGCTAAAACATGCCACTTAGTGAAAGCCAGGACCTACATGGCATCTTGTATTCCTACTGCCACTTTCTTTCTCTTTTTCTCTTCTTCTCAAATTCATCCCATTCAGGCCACTAGCATTCGTCACCTGAATTACTACAACAGCAACCTGTCTGGTATCATGCTCACTTTCATTTCTAGGACTGTAAGTGTTGTTCTTTTATCTTGGAATGCCCTTCCCTCATCACCAGCTCTCCCCTGGCAAACATCTCCTGGTTCTTCAAGACTCAGCTCAGGTTTCATCTCCTCCAGGAAACCCTCCCTTACTCCTGAGGCAAACACAAGTGCTGCTTCTTTCTGCCCCCAGCATTACTCAGCACGGTGCAAGCCATCACTTTAAAACACTGTTAAGACTATATTGCACCCCAGTGGGCCTTATGCCCCTCAAGCGTAAAAACTATGTGTCATTTTTCATCTATGTGTCTCCAGCACCTAGCAGAGAGATAGACACTACTGAGCACGTAATACAATATTTATTGACTGACAGACTGTTTTTCGTGTTTGTTCTTTTAGGCGACTATATCTTACCCAAGCGGCTGGACTGGAAGAGCCACCTAAAGAAATGCCTTTGGAGTTGTCAGAGACATATATAGGTATTAGGTATTATTTTACTGTAATATTGGTGATTACTTTTTTCAATTTAACAAACACTTATCGAGCATCTGTTATGGGCAAGCACCCCACATACAAGAGTTATTCAGGGAATAGTTACATGCCAGCTCTGCTAGATTTCTCTTTTTCCTTTCAGTGCTTATCCTAATCTATCTCTCTCTCTAGTTCCATTTTCAAATTGAAGTCACTGTGTTTCACAGTGAATTAGATACTGGTGGAGAGGGGAGAGGGATGGAGTGTTGTCTTCACTGGAGCTTGGGGCCCAACTGAGCCATCCCAAATGCCAGCACACATGTAGGTTCTCATATAATTGCTGTAACTTATCAGCTCACAGAAGGAAATACAACTTAAGAGTTTCTAAAAGTGAGACTCCCTCTTTAATACATAAATTCTACATTTCTTATTCTCAAAATGCTTTCAAATTAAAAACGTGACCAAGTATGTATTGCATTTTTATCTGTTCAAAATGTATACAGAATTAATTTCTTTGTATTTATCCCAGGAGAGAAGTCAAAATTGCAACCCATAGAAATGGAAAGCTCACCACTTAGCAGTGCCTTTCATCTTAGTACCGAAGATAGCGTCAGAGATGTTCGATATGTGAAGATAGATGCGGAGAGCTCAAGCACAGAGTTTGGGGGCCCTGATACGAAATACTTACTATATGAGGATGAGCAGGATTTCAAGGTAGTATTCATGAAAACATAACTTGACTACTGAGAATGCTGTTTCATTAATTAATGGAGAAAATTAACCTAAGATATGGATACTGAAAAATTCTATTTGCAATTATTAGTAAAGTTGGCCCACCATTTACATCACTCTTTAGATACTATTTTCACTCCTGCCCTTGCCGAATTTGCTACATATATTCATTTATAGACCTCCATTACTAGCATGCAATGTAAGTTATCTAATGCTGCATAACAAATCATCCCCAAACCTAGTGGCTCATAACAATAATCATCTATTCTCTTTCAGGGCTTCTGTTGGTTAGGAATTCAGGAAGGGCGCCACTGGACAGTTCTTACTTGGGTCTCAGGCAATTGCAATCATTTGTTGGCTGGGGCTGCACTCATCTGCAGGCTTAATTGGGGCAGGAGGATCCATTTCCAGGCTGGCTTACTCAGATGGCTGCAAGTTGATGCTGGCTAAGCTGAGGGCCTGAGTTCTTCTTCACATGGGCCTCTCCACAGGGTGACCTAAGTGTCCCTTTGTTATGGTGTCTGGCTTCTTCCAGAGAAAGCAATCCCAGAGACCAAGATGAAAGCTGCATTGCTTTGTATGATTTAGCATTAGAAATCATACACCGTCACCTCCATCATATTCTAAGGTTGATGTCGTTACAAAGTTTCACCCAAGGGGAAGGACCATAGCTGCTATATCTTGAGGGAGGAGTGTCGGCATCATGTATTAGGCCATCTTTGGAAAGTACAAACTGCTACACATACTATATTAGTCCCTTTCTGTTGCTTATAACTAAATACCTGGAACTGGGTGATTTCACAGAAAACAAAATTTATTGCTTACAGTTTTGGAGGCTGAGAAGTCCAAAGTCCGGGGAACACATCTGGCGAGGTTCTCATTTGGTGGTGGCTTTACAGCAATGCAGGGGTTTCACATGGCAGAAAATTGTGGAGCACAGAGAGAGAGAGACTCTCACGTGCTCTCCTTTTAAAGCCCTCAGAACCATGCCGTTGACCACTGTTATTAATCCATTCTCTATGGCATGGTCCTACAACCCAATCACCTCTTCAAGGCCCTACCTTTCAATTACCATAGTAGGATTTCCCACCCTCAACAGTTACAGTGGGAATTAAGTTTCGAATATATGAACTTTTGGAACATCATTCAATCATTCACAGCAGGAGGTTTCCCAAAGGAAGGGATGTCAGATAGGACCTGAGCCATGTCAAACCAGTTTGAGGTTGATCATGGGGCTTCATTTAAATTAGACCTCTAATTCTGTTTGTTGATATTTTAGACTATAGTTAGTTTGGCAAAATGTACCAAACTATATAATAACCAAAGATCCTGTGAAAAGTGTGAAATTCTTGGAGAATTTGCTCAATATTAGAATATTTATAGTCAAGCAGCTTTTGCAGAATATTCCCCTTTGTTCTTGAATAACATAGAAAACTCTGCTGTGGTTATATCCTGGCCACCAGAAGCCTATGTATATATAACCAACACCCTTTCACCAATTAAAGAGCTTGAAGAGAATCTCTCTCCCCAGTCTAGCCAGGGCCCCTCCTCCCCACCCTTGCTACATAAGACAAGCTGGTCAGTCTTGCTGCCTGTTCTTTGGGAGATCTTGCCTTCTACACCCCACTGGGTATATAAGTTTACTGCATTGTTGTTTTTGTATTTATGGTCACTCTCAAATATTTCATGTGTTATCCAGCATTCAGGCAATTAGGAAGGTAATGATACCTGTCAGGTAAAAGTTAACTACAATAAAGAAAACCTCATCTATAAATGCTGGTAACTTGCTGAATAACCTCTCCTATTCTCTTCTCTGTCTGTTCACCATAGGATTATGTAAAATTGGGGCCCCTGGAAGTGAAGCTCATGAGTGTGCAGAGCAAGAAAATGCCCATTCATTCTCAAGAGAAGGAAATGCCAGTAAAATTTGATGAAGATGTCAGGAGCCCAGAAAGCCTCATCACATATAAGATGATGAAGTCTTTTCAATATGATTGAAAGCTGCAAAATAAAACAACTTTTCCTTATAAATGTTCTTTAGGAACTGAAGTATATCAGCTGTCCATTTCACTTACACTTTATAACCACTTTTAAACCAGTTATTATTTCTAAAGGTCACAATTACATTTAAAATAAAAATTTCAAGTATCTATTCATTTACTTGCATGGCATGAGTGACAGAAATGAAAGTACATTTTGTATTTCTATATTGAAGTATTCAGAATCATGACAGTGGGTTCAAGCTGGTCCCTGTCAGTTTCTTCCCAAATGAAGTAGTTCAATTAGAAATGTTTCTAAGAAAAATTTAGAGGTTTGCATACCACTGGCTACACATCTTACCCTCTGAGGGTGCCGAATGATAGGCAGCCGGTTTACAATTCAAGCCTATTCTTCTGTAACATCACACTATTTATAATGAATATCAAAAGATTTAAAAAATAAATTTGAGGGTATTAATTTGTTATATAAAAATATTCCACTGATAGGCAGATCTCCCTTGCACCAACTATATCAAGTCTAAACTACTACGTCCCTGCTGAAAGCAATTACCACTTCCCTCTTAAGGATACCACAAGCCAAGGACACTGTGACTGCCTGAATGTGACCTCAGCATTCCATTTGGATCCTCGAGACCTGTTAATACCACCATGTGTCACGTTTCTGTATTCCCTGGTGATGTAAGATGTAAGCTTCTTTCATCATTGATGGGGGACATTATTTGCATTTTGGGGAGGAACATTTGTGCTGCACTGTCTTGAGCCCTGCAGCATGTTGGCATTCCTGTTCCCTCAATCTCAAATGCTGCTAACCTAACATTCTTCAGTCATTGTAGAAGTCAAAAACACTGGTTATGTTTCCCCACACCCTTTGGGGGACAGTGTCACCACCAGTTGAACACCTTTAAGTTGTTTCTATACTTTAAAACAACTTAGTGCTCAGTGCTTCCCAGCCCTTTCCTACTCTGCCCAAGCCTTCCAACCATGCCCTCTGAGACAACAGTAAGCAAATGCCATTGTTGAAAGTTCCCTTTACTCTCTGGTCATGACTGGCACCTGGTTCTTCCCACAAAGACCCTACTTTCCCTGTAGCCATCTCAAGTGTATGGTACTTATTCTTTTATGCTCCCACATTCTGTAGGGCCCACATGCTTCCACCGACCCAATGCCTCTTCCAGATCATTATTCTACCATTCTCACTTAAAAACACTTCTTTTGAGGTTCGGTATATATGTCACTCTACCACTATTCTTTGCTATAATTTGCTAACCCTCCCTGTCACTATTCTCCGTGATCTTTAGTTTTGCACCCGGTTCACAGGTTTCCTTTCCAATCTACTTCATGCCCTACCATATCCATCTATTGAGATGCCTAATAGTCATTCATGAGTAGAAATTTGTTGGATATATGAGTGCTTCCATTTGACCATTCCAGATGCACTCACTACCTTTCCCTCTGTGTCTCAAAGGGTGACCTTTATGGATTGTATCAGTGATGTCCCTTGTCTTCTAATTGCCAATTGGGTTTGTTCAATGGAAGGTTCTGGCAGGAGATCAAAGAAAGGGAGAAGGTGAGATTTATTCTCCCAGATCCTTACCTACTGGGTAATGTGGATTAGCAGGGTGGGTCCCTCTACCTAAGGCCACAGCTCCTTTACCAAAGGCTCACCAAATACAGCTACTCTCTAGGACTAGTAAATACTCCCCTCTACCCCTTCAGGCCCAGGAGTGGTAACAGTTCCATCTGTTGCTAGCCCCAGGGAGTTTCATCATCCCTTTTAGTTTTTCTTAATCCTGCTCACACCTTTCCATAGATTCCCTTTGTTAAACTTTTCTTAAGTATCCTGTTTGAACGTGGCTTTTTTTCCTGCTGGGAAAGGTCAAGGCTGGAGATAAAGATCTGGGAATCAAGAGCAAAGGACTGAACTTAAAGCCATGAAAGCCTGGCCGGCCCGGTGGCACACTGCTACAGTGCCCCGCTTGGGAAGCGCGGCGCAAAGGACTGAACTTAAAGCCATGAAAGCCTGGCCGGCCCGGTGGCACACTGCTACAGTGCGCCACTTGGGAAGCGCGGCGGCACTCCCACCAAGGGTTCGGATCCCACATACAGGCCGGTTCCCGCTCACTGGCTGAGCGAGGTGCGGGAGCAACACCGAGGGTTGTGATCCCGTTGCCGTCCTGGTCCGGTATGGGCGCAACACTGAGGGTTGTGATCCGATACCGGTCACGAAAAAAAAAAGACAAAAAAGGAAAAAAAAAAAAAGCCATGAAAGCCTGGATGACATTACTGAGGGTCTGAGTGTCAATAAAG